ATATGTAAGCATTTAAACACTGCAGAGACAATTAACAGTAACAGTGTTGTAGAAATTCATTTCACCGAAACAATAACGTGGCGCACAGTGTGACGTCAAAAAAGGCGTACACCTTTGACGCTGCGTTTTCTGTCCACACGTAAACGCAAAAACTGAGTTTTCAAGAATATCCACCCTGGCCGCAGTTTTTAAAAATCTCTGTTTTCAGTGACCGAAAACGCCGTTTACGTGTGGACGAAAGGTGCAAACACATAGAAAAATCTGTGTTTTCAAAAATACCCGGGTACGTGTGGACGTAGCCTAAGTCCTGATATAAAAAGCTGAAAACAGGCCAAAATCTCAATATTCTTTGATTTTATTCTTCCTAAAGTTTGGTAGGTGTGCAGGTGCTAAAGGATCCTGCACAGTAAAAACATGATGTCAGTGCAAAAGCTGTCCAAGAGTTCACTGAGATCTGAGTTCCTACATATTAGAAAGTCCTCAATGAATGTGTCATTGTGGAGAAAAAAAGATCCACACCCACCAGAGGCTGCCTGTGTGCGTGTGTTCCTGTCTAGCTATCTTTGTGAGGACCGACATCTGCATTCTACTATACTTGTGAGAACCAACAGTGACCGACACACTCACCGGTTTGAAGCATTTTTGAGGCTCAAAATGTGGTTTTACTGTCAGGGTTGCAATTAGGTTATGGTCAGGGTCAGGTTTAGGGTCAGGCATTCATTTTAGGGTCAGGGGCTAAAGCATTATGTCAATGAAGGTCCTCACTAAGATGCTGAAGTCCTGGTGAGGTTAGGTTGACACAATATAATGCATTTCTGAATCAGTCACTCTCTCTGATCAGAACAAAACCAAAAGCTGACTGAATATGTTTGTTGGGAATAAAACATCACTGACTTGCTTTCTATGAGCACGTGACTCCGATTAGTTGAGCCACTGGAATTCAAATCATTGCTTGCGCCTGAGCCCGTGTAGTCGTGTGTTATCATGAACGCTGCCGTGGCGACTGGCGTGATGCAGCAGGCTGGTGTGAGTGTGGAGGGACGGTCTGAAGACAAACACTCCTGAGTTGAAACAGTCGGGCCAGCCGGGATCAGGAGCGGCTGACAGCTCGTCCCTGTCAAACAGCTCGTCCACGTTACACAGCACCTGAGGAGACCACAGGTCATCTAAACTCACATCTACATGGACGTCATCCACCTGAAGCTGACACCTGGAGGTATACATGTTACCTTTGTGTAGAAACAGGCGTCATAAGGGTTAAAAACATGCTTTTTTACAGAAAGCATGAGAACATTACTCATCACAGAGCCTGCTGTGAAACCTCAGCTGGTTTTATTCAGTAGGAACATCTGTGACATCACTGAGATTAAAGATGTTGGCCACATCAGAGCTGCATGGGTACTAAAAGTGACTTCCACACACTGTGGACTTTATCATAGGTCATGAACTCCAGCGTGACCTGTGAACCTGCCATTGATCCGTTTCAGTGTGACACTTCAGTTGCTCCTCTGATCACAGCTGCTGGGAAGTTTGAAGGTGAGCAGCTTATATGTGTGTTCCTGCTGTTGTTTGTTCCTGGTCAGAAGCACAAACCTCTCAGTTCACCTGCAGTAACATATGGTCACAGAGACTTTCTACAATTACATCCCACTCTAATAAAAACGAGCTGACTGGCTACAGCACAGAAAAGAAAACCAGGGTTGTTCTTGTTTTTATTGTTATTGTAACAAACTCTATGCTAAATGAAGATATCTGTGAGACACCACTTCCTCTGTGCTGAGACTGGCTCAAACTGCTCCCCACTCCTCCCACCCGAGTGTTTGTGATCCTCCCTCAACCAGCTTCAGACGTGTCGGCGTGTGTCAGTGGACTCACCAGAGTGTCGGCATCCAGAAAGACGCATTTGCTGTACTGTGTCAGAGTCCAGCAGTGGATCTTAGTGAACGTGATACCGAGCTCAGGACGTCCCAGCAAGCACAGGTGGTGGTAATCTTCACTGTCCATCACATCCACCACAATCACTTCATCAAACACGTCGTTAAGGGCGAGTCTGTCGGGCGAGTCGTAAACGTCAGGATATGATTGTTAGCAGATGAGCCTGTTTGTTC